CTACGGCAAGTGGATCCCTATCTAACTGCAGACAGGTGATCACCAGCCCTTGTCACCAATTATACAACATCTGACATCGATATGCAAACTCTTCTATGCAATGATTGTCTCTATGAGAAAAGGTTTCTTTAAATAAAACTATTATCATGAACAAATATTAGATTTTGACAAACAATCCTTTATCCATATGAAGGAGATGGAGAATCTCTCGTTTGCCATGACATATTTAACAGTCTCAAATATTTTTCGATATGTATAATATCTGCGCCGTTTACGACTAAAAGAGCAAAGAAGACGCGTGAAATCATTAAAATCAAAATTGTAAATTATAATGTTAGCAGAGAGATCAAGTACAGACAATCTTTCCTCACATTCATTGAGAATAAAATCTTTTCACAAGAGCGCTTTTGCTAAGATATCTTGTAGCCATAATAATGTAGAACTTTAGTACTCGACCCCAATGATCCATGGCTACGCAATGCCTGTCTACGTACATACCTTGCCGAGGATAGGGTATGCACCGAAAAACGATTTCTTCTTCCAAGTTAGTTTTCGGCTTGTTTCCATTTAGAAGATGGCTGAATGCTCCTGGTATGGAAAATGATAAACAATTGGCTTTTGAAGTGCATATCAAATTCGATAACGAGGTGTTCTCGGCTCGTGATGTAAGTATTTCTTATGCACTATCTTAACTAGTTGGCATACCAAGCTACGCAAGGCCACGAACTAAACTAATGGTTTGTGCGAACACTAACACTCGTAACGTTCGCTAAGGCGGAACATTTTGATCGTCCTTAGATAAACAAGGAAACTTATCCTTACAATTGGGTTTCTGTTTAATGGTTGTAGTTCATTGAAGCTTGCCTTGCTAACGTATGTAACTTGAACAAACTCTTTAAAGTACTGATACTAAGAAGTAAAGTGTATATTTTTGAGAATGGTTTAATAATTGAATAGTTCATACTCAAGGAATCGAGATGACCCAATGTAAAAAATTGTAAATTATTGCAAGCAAGCTGGTAACTGTAGTACAGAGCAGCCTACGTGAGTTGCCATAAATCCATGTAAGCCAGGAGGAAGTTTCTCAGCCATTATTATTCTCCTTCAATTCCATTCCCTAGCCATTGGTTACGGGAAAAAATTGTGTGTTACTGTTATTTGTGAATCTTCGTAAAAAGGGAGGGGTGGAAGGCGGAGATAGGTTAAGTAATCCACCTATACGAAGGGCAACAAGTCCACCTCTGGTACGAGTTTCCTTGTCATATTACAGATTATAATCGACTTGCCTGGCATGGCATGCCTGGTTGAGGCTGTCCCAAATGCGATTCCACTTATGAAGGGGAGGCTACCTGTTGAGAGTGCGGATGCAGGTACACTAAATTTCAGAAGTTTAATGTAATCAAAGCTATGTTCGAAGCAGAAAGGAGGTTTACAATGATTGTCATTGATTTATTCCAATAGCGATTAAAATCATCAGCACGATGATGAATTATGATTCTTCACAATCCATAAACTTCTGTTTTTACTCTGTAAAAATTGATGAATAGCCAATACTACTCAGGCTAATACTTCTCGGTTTCATTTAGCAATCATAGCCAAGGTAAAAC